TCCAAGGGAAGTGGTGCTGGCTCCTACCCTGGGGGTCTTTAAGAGGAGGCTAGATGTACACCTTGCTGGGGTCGTTTGACCCTAGTACTCTTTCCTGCCATGGCAGGGGGTCGGACTAGATGATCTACTCAAGTCCCTTCCGACCCTAGAAACTATGAAAAGGAAGCTGAGGAGGAGGAAAATCCTTTCCTGTCTCATGAGCGAGGGAGGGCAGAGAATAGTGCGGATGAGCTGTTACTTGTGGGCTGGAGGTTTTAATTTTGTGGAATATTCAAACCAGCGGCAGAGGGTTCTGCATGAATGGGCATGCTGCATCTCGCAAGCATGGGTGCCGATTTGTCCTGCTAGGACCGGCGGGAGCAGCTAGGAGGATCATTAAAATAGCCATACAAGGAATGGGTGCCGAAGATGCAAATGCAATTCAAACTGCATATTGTGAACAAAATGAACCAATAGGACAAAGAATAAAACTACTGGATCAAACGAGAACAGGATGAGTTACTCCTCCAGGGCTCGCCTGCTGTGTAAACAGAAAAGTTGTGGTGTTTTGAAGGACTTCAGTTTGGGGAAGGCTAATGCATCCAGCAGCAAAGTGTTAGTTTCCAGGGATTTTAAATGAATTCCTAAGGGTGTGAATACACAGACATTTTGGAGCTGTTTCCAAAGGGGGGATGTTTCAAATGGGCAGCAGCTGTTAATTTGTGACTGTAACTAAACTGCACATCCATACATGCAAACCTCTTTGGCAGGCATGTCATAAATTAGCCCCACGGTCACCCCCAGTGCTAGTCCCATCCCCTTCCCCTGACCAGTTGGCTTTCAGCCCTTTAATTTTATGAATCTGAAACCTGAAAGAGTAGTGACTCATTGTGTTAAACACCAGCAAATGATGCAATCTCATAGTTGCCTCCAAAATCCAAGAAAAACAGCAAAGGAATGTAAAATGCTGTCCCGTCGAAAGATCAATAATCCTGGTGCATTTAGTTCTGCAGTAATTTCGTTTAAATGCCATTTTTCCCCTCAGTAGTTGGAACGTGTTATCAGGGCATTGCTAATTAAAATGACTCATCACTGGAGAGTCTGGATAGCTGCCAACTGTCCAGGAGAGATGTTCATACCCAGAAGGGGCGGGAGGGGAGAAACTGAGAGATGTAGCTGATGCCTTTTCTGTAGTTCATTGCATTTCTCTCAGTTCCAGGGGGGAATAGCCTTCATTTTTGTCTAG